CAGAACATAAATTTTGTCATTTTCACCATTTTTAAGTGTACAATTCAGTGAGCTTTAGTAGTTACATTCCCAATGTTGACCATCTACTTCCAAAACTTTTTCATAGAAACTCTGTACCCATTAAGCAATAACTCCTTGTTCCCTCCCTCCCCCAATCTCTGGCAACCTCTACTTCCTGTGTCTATGAATGTGCCTATTCTAGATAGTTCACGTAAGTGGCGTTATATAATGTTTGTTCTTTTGTGTCTGGCTTAGTTCACACAGCCTAATGTCTTCAAGGTCCATCCATGTTGTAGCATGTGTCAGAACTTCATCCCGTGTTAAGGATGACTCACAGGCCATGGTATGGATAGACCACATTTGGTTATCCATCTGTTGGGCACTGGGATTCTTTCCACCACGGGCTACTATGAATGGTGCTGCGATGAACACGGCTGTACAGGCGTCTGTTTGAGCCTGTTTTCAGTTCTTTTGGGTGTCTATCCCGGAGAACTGCTGCGTCATATGGTGATTATATGTTAAGCTTTTTGAGGAACCACCAAACTTTTCTGGAGAAGCTGCACCATGTTATATCCCCAACAGCGACGTAAGAGGGTTCCAATTTCTCCACATCTTCACCAATACTTAGTTCCTTTTTCCTGATGGACATCTTAGAAGGTGTGAAGTGATGTATCACTATGGTTTTGATTTGCATTTCCCTAGTGACTAGTGATGCTGAGCATCTTTTCATGTGCTTATGGGCCATTTGCAGATCCTCAAAGAAATACCTATTTAGGTCCTCTGCCCATTTTTTTTGGGGGGGGGGGCGTTATCTTAATTTGGGTCATTGAGTTACGGGAGTTCTTTAAACATTCTGGATGTTAAACCATCATCAGAGATATGATTTGCAAATATTTTCTCCTATTCTGTACATTGTCTTTTCACTTTCTTGATAACGTCCTTTAACGCACAAAAGTTCTTAATTTTGATGAAGTCCAATTTTTCTGTTTTTCTTTAGTTGCCTGTGCTTTTGTTGTCATACCCAAGAATCCATTGCTAAATCCAAGGTCATGAAGATTTACCCCTATGTTTTTCTTTCATAAGGGTTTTAAGGCTTTAGTGCTTATATTTAGGCAATGGACCCATTTTGAGTTAATTTGTGTATATGACATGTGATGGGGCTGCCCTGATTTTTCTGACCAGGGTCGCCTCCCCACTGTGACCCTCTGGCAGAGCTAGGTAGCATCCCTGCACTAGATCATGAACTTCATGAAGACAGGGTCTGGGTCTTTTCAAAATCACCACTATGGTGTAGGCAGCCAGCCCAGTGCCTACCCAGCAGGTACTCAATAATTAACTGGGATAAATGGATGGTTGAGTGGACAAACCACTGAGTGGATAAACTCCACTCCCCACCTTCCACCCAGCTACAAGACCAACTGGCAGAAAGACTCCAGTTTGAAACAAAGTAGTAAATCTGATTCATAAACATACATATTAAGAACTAAATATAGATCATCAATTGTACTCACACACTCCTATCACTTAAACGAAAATGATCCAAGATCTAACTAGCACACTTAACTAATGACAGGGCAGAGGCCGCAGCCCTGCAAAGCTCAACATGTCCTTCCCAGTTTCCTAGTTCAAGTCCCTCATTGCACAGAGGAGGACCCTGAAGGGCCGATGGAGGCACTGACTTCCTAGATCCCGGGCTTTCCCCACCAAACACAGTGCAGATTAGCAACAAAAGATCCATGAGATTAGTCTGAATTCCTTCACATGGTAGGAGTGGCTCTCTGGCTCCTAACAAAAAAATGACCCCTGGGTCCTAGATCTTATCCTGCCCGCCTCAGGTAGCACCACACCCACTCTCTGCTCCAGCCACACTGCCCCCATCCTGTTCCTCATTCCCACCTCAGGTGTGCACACCTGTTCCTCCGGCTGGACACCCTCAGACATCCTCCACCTGGCTCTCCCCCACTTTCTTCATGCCCTACTCTCTTTTCTCCTTAGCAGCTACCATCATCAGACATATCACATATTTGTTTACTGCTCTCCTCCTCCCCCGCCCTATTTGTTTACTGCTCTCCTCCTCCCCATACCCTTCCCCTTCTTTTTCCTCCTCCTCATCCTCCTCTTCCTCGAAATCCCCATGTCCCTAACTCTCACTAGAATGAAATTCCCTGAGCACAGGGACTTTTACTATTTAACTGCTGTATCCCTAGCAAGGGGAACAGAGCCTAGCCCCTGCTCAATGCATGCATTAAAAGGATAAAATGGGGGCCCTAGCCAGATTGGCTCAGTGGATAGAGTGTCGGCCAGAGGACTGCAGGGTCTCAGGTTTGATTCTGGTCAAGGGTGTGTACCTCAGTCTAGGCTCAATTCCTGGCCCTGGTGGAGGCACTTTCGGGAGGCAATCAATCAATGTATCTCTCTCATATTGATGTTTCTCTCTCTCCTCTTCCCTTCCACTCGCTAAAAATCAATGCAAAAATATCCTCGGGTGAGGATTAACAACAACAACAAAAGGATAAAGTGGGGGACACCACTCTCGGTATGTACCCTATCACTAATCCTTACCGAGGGGAAGGCAGGTGGCTCCAAACTCACAGGTGAGCACTGTCTGGCCCCTGCAGAGGCCCAGGGCTGTCCCAGGCTCCTGGGCCTGAGACACGTGGGTGACAAATCACTCCTACATGTCCGTCAGCCCGAGATGCTGGCAGCGGACACTCTGCTGACCTGGCCTCAGAGAATGGGGTTTCTCCCCACAGGCCCTTCATAAACGCTTGTGACCTGCACACACAAATGAATGAACCAACAGCTAATGTGCACAAAGCTCGCAGCGCTTTCAGAAGGCTGTGTCCGCGCTCCTAACAGCGCATCACTCCAGCTGTGCGGGAGGCTGACTGATCAGTAACTCCACTCCTAGGAACCTACCGTCACTTTTATTGGCAAAGATTTCCTCCCAGAGACATTTGTAACATTGAAAATTACAACTAAGAAAAAAGAGGATTTCCAACTTCAGAGGGCCAGGTAAGTAAGTCACAAAATAGGCACAGGGTGTCCGTGAAGACTTCATAATGACGTGGAAGTGATTAGAACAGCACATCAAAAAGGCTGGTTATAAAACTGTATGTACAGTATACCCATACCTATAACGTAAGTATAGGGGAACTCGCAAGACCATAAAAATATAATTGTGAGTTTTACTATCCTTTCCACCTTTCTGTATTTCCTAAATTGTCTCTGGGCAATAATGAGTTAAGAAAATCAAACTGACAGAATTTCTAAAAATGCTGTTACCTGACGCTTTCCTGGTGCCCAGGTGTGTAACAGGTGTCTCTGTCCCCTGACCCTGCTTCCTCTTCCTCCCTCTTGCCTCCAGAACCTGACGCCAACCGCCCTCCCGACCCTGTCACCGCACTGACCTTGTTACCACACCTGCAGTCACTCCTCTCGGGAAACCCTGCTCCAAGGCTGGGATGCCCCACCTGACACTCTCTGGCCCCCAGACCCCAGTCCTGGCCCGACTCCTCCACTTCCCAGCTGTGGCCCTGGGCAAGTTACAGACCTCTCTGAGACTCCACTTCCTCCTCAAGAAAATGAAGCTGACCCCACCTCACAGGGCACTGACATTCAGGGAGCTAACAGTCCCAGCTCACGGGGCCCCAATCTGCTGGCTCCACCAAGCCTCGTGAAGGTTGAGGTTCAATGTGCTAACGTGCTAACCGCTGTGAGTGTGCTCTGGATGCTGCCTCGCTCTGAAGGCTGGCCCCAATCTGCTGGCTCCACCAAGCCTGGTGAAGCTGGAATTCTTTATCCTCAATCTGTCTAAATCTGGGCACCTGTCCTCTCCTGAAAGCAGCAGCGAAAAGCAGCTTTGCCCTCCGACCTTAGACCACATGGTTTCTTGACCGATATCCCCATATCCCTGCTGAACTCCCCACCCCTTCAGAGAACGCCAGCCTAACTCTTGCTCCTCAACGCTGATGCCCGAGTCCCATCGCAGCACTCACCCCTGTGGGGTTCCCCCTCAACCTCTGAAGTCCATCTTGGCATTTTCTTTTTTTTTTTTTAATATATTTTATTGATTTTTTACAGAGAGGAAGGGAGAGAGATAGAGAGTCAGAAACATCGATGAGAGAGAAACATCAATCAGCTGCCTCCTGCACATCCCCCACCGGGGATGTGCCCGCAACCCAGGTACATGCCCTTGACCGGAATCGAACCTGGGACCCTTCAGTCCGCAGGCCGATGCTCTATCACCTGAGCCAAACCGGTTTCGGCAATCTTGGCATTTTCACTTGAGGCCCTGCTGACTCCTCAAACCATCTTCCCCTCTACACCAACACCCTCCCAGACACCCCGACTCAGTGCTTGGCTCTCCGTGCTGTCTTTTAGTCACAGGGCTTTACACATTCTTCCTTCGTGAACAGTCTGTGTTTACCCTTCTCTCTGACGCCCCAGGCATTTAATGAGAACCAACTGCAGGCAGCTCCATGGCGGGGGCTGGTGGTCAGAGGTAAAAGGCTATCTCAGGTCCCCGGCCTCAGCCTCGGGGCCGCACAGGCTTGTCAGAGAGATGCGTGAAGAATCACCTCTCAGTGTGGTGAGGGCTCTGAAGACAGATGTGTGCCCCTGGCTGCTGGGCCTTGTCTGGGCTGTGACCACAGCTCAGCCTGGGCATTTTCTAGGGGGAGATGCTCAGGGGCTCTCCCAGTGTCAGGAGGTGGGGAGGAGGGGCGGGCTGGGGGAGGGATTTCCCAGGTGGATCTGTCCAGGACAGGTGTGGGGGTGAGTGAAGCGTGACCTGGGGTTTCACAGCGAAGACTTCAGGAGAGAGTGTTTTGAAGGAAGAAGGTGCTGAGCTCTGGTTGGGATGTGCAGAGGGTCAGGGGGAGGTGATACACATAGGATTTCAGTTTTGCAAGATGAAAAGAGGTGGTGGCTGCACGAGGGTGATGGCAGCACGACACTGACTATATGTAATGCCTAGAACTGTACACTTACAGATGATGAAGAGGGTAAACTTTACATTATGTGTATTTTACCACATTTAAAAAAAAATACGTCTTTCATTACAGGTATAGAAAATCTGGACGCCTGGAATTGAACAGTATGTCTGTGTCCAGAGCGGTGACAGCAAATCCTTTTCAGCAACGGCAGACTATTCCTCGGCAGTGAAAGAGAAGTGTCGACTTGTAGAAGTTTTCTCCCAAGGTGAGGGGACGACAGTCTTCCATCAGTAAGCTTGAGCCAGAGACACTCATTTTTTCAGACTGGAGGAAAGGAAGGAAGAAGAGGAGCCAGAAAATGAAGGAGGAGGGGTAAAGGTGAGGAGGCTCTGAGCATCTCAGGGCCACAGGCGGTGGGTTATCTGGAGAGGCGAGGACAACAGGTAGGAGACCTGGAAAGAGTGAGATGGTTAGGTTGGGTGGTGTGGGAGTAACAGGGAGGTGCAAGGCAGGGAGGGCCTAGCCGGCTGCAAAGCACAGAGCACAGTCTGAAACTGTCACTACGCCTGGGCAGAGGTCCTCAAAGCATGGTCCCTGGTCTCTGGACCAGCAGCCATACCCGGGAGCTTGTTGGTAATGCAAATTTTCAGGTCCCACCAGGGAGTTTGATTCAGACCCTCAGAAATCAGAAACTCTGGGGCGGGACCTAGCAGCCCGTGTTTTCACACGTGATTCTGATGTGTCAAAGTTCGAGAAACACTAGTAGAGAACACAGAAATCCAATAGAAAGTTCGTATGTTCCTTATATGAACAAAATCAGCCTAGCAACTTCTACATAAGAGAGCAAGAAATGCATAACTGCTTCAACGTCAACACAATTCATTTCTATAGTGAGAGAAACGCCCATGCACATTATTAACAAAGTTACAGAAATATAGTCGATCTAATAAACTTCCTTAGATGAGATCTAGAAAACACACCTGAGACCTGGGGGCTTGAAACTGTACAACGCGGGTACCAGTCCCTACTCTGTGACTACCTGTGTGCCCTGGCGTGTGCCACAGCCCTTCAGGGCCTCAGTTTCCCCAAATGTAAAATCGAGCTGGGAAAGGCTCTTCTGAGGCCCCTTCCAGTTCTGACACTGTGTGATTCTTTCTGTCCTGAAAGAAATGACCGGAAACTAAATGCTTTTACATAGCTGAGCTTTGGGATAGAAAAGAACATTTAACCAGTCAAACAGAACATAACAGTTAACTAGAAAACCTTTCCCAAGTTCAGCCAGTGCTAGTGTCTTGCACTCAAAGAACTAGAACTCTCCTTCACGAACTGGCTTTCCCCTTAAAGCCACCGATGCCTAGAGTTATAAAAATACTGTACTGCCTGGATTGCGTTTGTGAGGCCACATGACTGCGACGCCCCAGAAAAATGTACATGCCCATTTTCATCCTGTAATATTTTTTAATATATTTTATTGACTTTGTACAGAGAGGAAGGGAGAGGGACAGAGAGTCAGAAACATCGATGAGAGAGAAACATCGATCAGCTGCCTCCTGTACACCCGCTACTGGGGATGTGCCCGCAACCAAGGTACATGCCCTTGACCAGAATCAAACCTGGGACCCTTCAGCCCGCAGGCCGACGCTCCACCCACTGAGCCAAATCAGTTAGGGCATCCTGTAATATTTTTTAACCTGGGAAGTCAGGGATGGTATTTTTTTGCGAGGAAGAAAATGGGTTAAAGTACCAAACCACACTGACCCTACCTATAGCGTTACAACTCCAGGCTTCCTGATAAACGGCCCCCTGCTGACCTTGTGACCTTGTTCCGGGATTCCTAGATGCTGGTTTCCTTCCTGGTTTCTCTGCATCCAAGTCCCTGTCTGCACCTACCGGTCATCTGATGACCATCCTCTTGTGCCTGGGTCCCCAATGACACCTGCTTCCCTGCCTCTAGGGAAAGCAGCGACTTAGTTCTGACCTCTTCCACCCAGGGCTGGAAGAGGAAGACAGGGTGCAGGTGTGAGTACCAGGGAACCAGAAGATAAGGTCTAGGGCAGTGGTTCTCAACCTTGTTAATTGAAATTCTGTTTCTTTGTTATGGGGTGGGGCCACATCATGAGTAACAAAGAAACAGAATTTCCGGAGGATGAGGCCCAGAAATCAGGATTTTAAAAAGATTCCCAGGTGATTCTAATGTGCAGCCAAGGTTGAGAACCACTGGTCTAGGGCCGTGGTCGGCAAACTGCGGCTCGCAAGCCACATGCGGCTCTTTGGCCCCTTGAGTGTGGCTCTTCCACAAAATACCACGTGCGGGTGTGCACGTACAGTGCGATTGAAACTTCGTGGCCCATGCGCAGAAGTCGGTATTTTGTGGAAGAGCCACACTCAAGGGGCCAAAGAGCCGCATGTGGCTCGCGAGCCGCAGTTTGCCAACCACTGGTCTAGGGAGACTCTAGTCTTCGGCCCCACCTCACCTGCAGACCCTGGCTCTCACATTCCATTAGAATTTGGTCAGTGAGAAGCTCAGCTGGCTTGTTTGTCCCCCTTGTGCATCTATCCCAAACCCCCTCTCCCCTCCCTCCTCCATCCAGCCTGGATACATAAGTGACATTGCAGGCTCTGGCAGTCATGTGGCAGGAAGGAACAGGTAAAGGGAGGGCTGACAGGCGGCTGGTGAAGCAGGAGCAAAGCATGCCAACGGAGGTGCAACCAGAGGGGACCCGAGCCACGGACATGGACTGGCCGGCAATGTCAAGGAGGTAAGTTTTGTCTTTATCCAGGTAGAGGATTCCTAGAGCTAGGGGCGTTTCTAGGCTAATTTGCCTGCACTGATGCCGGAAGCCAATTCCAGCATGTCAGCAGGGCTGAACATCTGGAGGTGGCTGAAGGCATTTCCCCAAACCTGAAAAGGATGCATAAAATGACTGCTTGCTGCCAGACAGCTAAGAGCATCTTAATCTACATGTTATTGCCTCCTACTGGCCAAACACCTGAACAGCTGTAAGCAGTTTTTCCCCAATCTGACAATGGATTCTGTATACTAACCCTACCCTTTGATGTGTATATCTACCTTGCCTTAGGACAATTTGTGTTAATAAATAGCAAGGGGTCCTGAGATGAGGAGAACTTGGTTTCTTTAGCCAAGCTCCTCTGGCCCCCTAATGCCTTTCAAAATTATGTTTCGTCTCTCCTATTTAATCTACACACAGCGCCTTCTCCAGATTCCTGAACCCTTCTAGATGCTGGATCAAGACCACCGGCATTACACTGACCTCCAACCTCAAAGTCACATGTGGGTAGAGTGACCACACATCCTCATTTGCTAGGGTAGTCCCAGCTGAGGCTAGTTGGTTAGATGCAATTATTAATAGCCGCCTCTTTTATTCTCAAAATGTTCTGGTTCGGATGATGAGTTCTAGTCACTCTATTCTTGGGCCCCTAGGCCAGCAAAGTTCAAGCCCAGTTAGAGAAGGCAGGTTAGCATTGGGAGGGACCTCCAGGCTGGGTCTCACCCCTCATCAAATGTTCCATTCTCCTCTCCAGCTGCCCTGCCAAGCCATCACCCAGTGTTTGCTTGCATGCCTGTGCGGACAGCAGGCTCACTATTCCCTGCGGAAGTCTCTCTCTCTTTTGGGGGGAAAACTGCATTATGAAAACAGCAGGATTCGAACCTATGTATACTATGATTGCAACTAAAGAACATCCCTCAGTAAGGAAAAGACTGGGAGTGGGAAAACTAGAAAACCTGCTTTTTTCTTCCACCTTATGGTCTCTTCAGGCAACAAATACTCACTGAGTGCATTTGATGTCTCAGGGGCACTGGGGACACAATGGTGAGTTAAACACTCTCAAATTGAGGGGCATTCTACAAAACCACTGGCCTGCACTCGCCAAAAATGTCAAGGTCATAAAGGACAAAGAAAGGCTGAGGAACTCCAGATTAAAGAATAAAGAGACATGCCAAAACTGGTTTGGCTCAGTGGATAGAGCGTCGGCCTGAGGACTGAAAGGTCCCAGGTTCGATTCCGGTCAAGGGCATGTACCTGGGTTGCGGGCACATCCCCAGTGGGAGATGTGCAGGAGGCAGCTGATCGATGTTTCTCTCTCATCGATGTTTCTAACTCTCTATCTCTCTCCCTTCCTCTCTGTAAAAAAATCAATAAAATATATTAAAAAAAAAAAAAGAATAAAGAGACATGACAACCATATGCAACCCATGATCTGGGCTTTTCTTTGTGATAAAGGATACTATCGAGACAGCTGGCAAAACCTGAATAAGTTCTATAGATTATAGTATTGTATCAATATTGATTTCTTGATTCTAAAAACTGTACTATAGTTATATAGGAGAATGTCATCATTTTTAGAAAATACACAGAAGTGTCTATAACTAATCCTTAAATGGTCCAGGAAAAATACCTACATAAAATACCTACGTAGGCCGAAACCGGTTTGGCTCGGTGGATGGAGCGTCGGCCTGCGGACTGGGGGGTCCCAGGTTCGATTCCGGTCAAGGGCATGTACCTGGGTTGCGGGCACATCCCCAGTGGGGGATGTGCAGGAGGCAGCTGATCGATGTTTCTCTCTCATCGATGTTTCTGACTCTCTATCTCTCTCCCTTCCTCTCTGTAAAAAATCAATAAAATACATATTTTTTAAAAATACCTATGTAGAGATAAAGATAGAATAAATGTGATAAAATGGTGCCATTCGGGGAATCTGGGTGAAGAGTATATGGGAGTTCTTTGTTCTATTTTTGGAACTTTTCTGTGTCTGAATTAGGTCAAAATAAGAATTAAAAAGAAAGCAATAAGTCTTGGAATTTTTTTTTTTAAGAAAAAAAGAAAGATTTCACAGTTCACAGTGCAGCTGGGAGACAGGTACTAATAATTACACTAATTAACTGCAAAACTGCACCTGTGAAAAGCTCTGTAAAAGGAGACAGATGGCGGCATGCGCGTGTATAGAGCCAGGTTTACCCAACTCAGGAAGGTGAGGGAAGGTAATTAGGGAGCAAAGCCCCAAAGCATGAGAGAACTGAGGAGAGGAGAAGGCTCCCGGCTCTCACAGCCTCCGATTTTCCTTTTGCTCCCTGACATTTAATTTTTAATTTTCTCCAACAACCATGTATAAATTTGATCACCAGGTCAGGGGAGGGGAGGCGGCGGGGGGAAACAGCAGGCAAGGCCTGGGTCCAGGCTGTCATCCTCCCCTCTCCCAGCCCACCCGTGATTAGGGCCAGAGCTGGTTCCTGCCCCTCTTAACTAAAAACCTCAGGTCCACACTGAGGCTGACTCACCTGAGGGAAGCGGGGTACAGGGGCCAGGTCTTCACATCCTGCTCTCAAAGCCAGACCAGTGCCTTTCATCAACACAGCATCCAGCTGGCCACCGCCCCTTTCTGGCCCTGGATCCTGCCCCTTGGAACATCCCTTCTGTGCTAAGAGCTAGGACCGGTAGCCCTGCCCTGGGAGGGGCCATGACTCGCCCACAGCCATTCTCAGCACCAAACAAAGTGCTTGTCCGAAGAGTCAGGGGCCTGACCACAAGGGAGGGGACCCTTTTCTGTGCCAAGTTCTGCCTCAGTAGGTTTTCAGTCATTAGCTCCTTTCAAATGGTCCATTTAAAGGTCCTCATTTCACAGTTAAAGGACCTGTCTAGGGACAGACTTGGGTTCAAATCTGGATGTCCTACTTACCAGCAATGTGCCCTTTGGGTAGTGACATCCTCTCTCTGAGCCTCAGCTTTCTCACCCCATCTGTAAACTGGGGCTTGTGGGAAGTTGCAATATTCTGGGACTAGAAGATACTGTTTACCCCCTTTTGAGGCTCCAATGGGCTCAGTACAAAAAATTCACTCCAAGCTACACAGTGCTTAAATATTTACTAAAAGCTTGTGTATCCTGACAGTAAATCATAGGACCTGAATTTTCCAGGGCTATTCCAATTTCAAATCCTCTGTCCTAACTTTCCACATAAACCATCAAAATGTCTCAAAAATTCCACTCTCTCAGTATCCAAACAACACCTCCCAGGCCTCCCTCCTCTTTCACAAAAAGGCCGCACAAACATTCTTTTTCAGACTACAGTTCCCAATCTTTAGTTCAGAAAATGCAGTCAGGGAGCCCTGCTGGTCCCCTGAAGGACACGGGGTCAGGGATAAAAATCTGCGGCCGTCAGCACTCGCTCTCAACTCTCAGACTCGGCTGTTTTCTGGCACAACAATGAAGTGAGCCAGGAGAAGGTGTACCACAATCAGAGCAGCACCCACAGAGGGGCACAGGCTGGGGAGAGGAGCTCTGCCCTGACCTACCTACCAAGCGGCTGCTACTCACGGATGCAGCCCGGTCGGAGAGTTGCTACGAGGATTAAATGAATGAGTTAATATTTGGAAAGCCTCAGAGCAGTGCCTGGTAGCCAGTAAACGCTCTATCAGTATTGAATAACTAAAACCAGAGGCATCCCAGGCAGAAGGTGCTCGTACCTTGAAGTCAAGCCAGAGGCACCGATCCTCTCCGAGGAAAAGACGGGGAATGGGCACTGAGCCCTGGGTGGAGTGAAGCCAGGCCCCGTACAGGGATGGGGGAGTACCCTAACTGCAGGAGCACTCTCAGAAGGGGAAGAGTCACCACTCCTGAGACACACAAGGTCTCTTTATGCCTCTGAGTCTTTACATCTGCTGTTCTGTCTGCCCCCTGAGTACCATCTTTTTCTACCTTCAAGGCTGAATTCAAATGCCAGCGACTCCCTATGATGTGCCTGATGCCCATCAGAATGAGTGGCCGCCTCCACTGGTCTCTTTGCATTTGATTTAGCCTCTTGTAAAGTAGTTATCAGATAGATAGATAGACAGACAGACAGATAACACACAGGTCAGTCTCCCCAACTCCACCATGAGTCCTTCCAAAACAGGGGTTCAAATTTCATCTCTGTAACCCTATTGCCTGACATATGCTATCTATAATAATAAAAGTGTAATATGCTAATTAGACTGGACGTCCTTCTGGATGTCCTTCCAGATGACCTTCCAGATGAAGTCGGGGCTTCAAGGGGCGAGGCAGCCGTTGCGGTGGTGGGGTCTGAGGTAGCTAGCCACCACCGTGGCAGGGGCTGAGCCCCTTACACGAATTTCATGCATCGGGCCTCTAGTAGACTCAATAAATGTCTGAATTTGCTGTTAAATCTGTGCTCACAGCTGGTCTTCACTGGAGGCACAACTGGAAGCTGTGTGATGCAAATCTCTAGGTTGGGAACCCATCACCAGGTCAGATTTCAGCCAGGCGCCTACCAAGCACTCCCTTTAGTCCCCCCTGAGGCAGATGAAAGGAGACACCTGTGAGAATGGAGGCTGCGGATGCCGGGACCCAAACCAGAGCAGGGTGGACAGTGACGAGGTCCTGTCCTGTCCTGTCTCTAATAGAGTTGGTAAGAAAAGCTGAGGTTTGGAAAGAACACCAGCAGGCTGCCCAGCCCCCACCAGCCCGTCAATGCCATGGCAAGCACGGAGTTCCTTGGGCCAGGGGTCCTCAAACTACGTAGGCCCGCGGGCCACATGCAAATACAAATATTGTATTTGTTCCCGTTTTGTTTTTTTTACTTCAAAATAAGATATGTGCAGTGTGCATAGAAATTTGTTCATAGTTTTTTTTTAAACTATAGTCCGGCCCTCCAATGGTCTGAGGGACAGTGAACTGGCCCCCTGTTTAAAAAGTTTGAGGACCCCTGCCTTGGACATTCTAGCCCCTGCAACAGACCCTGAGAAGAGGTGAAGAGGGACTGGCCCTGCTGTCCAGGAACCACTGTCTGGCGGAAGGAAGCTGAGCACTGGGATTATGGTCAATAGGCACTCTCCACAAATTGCTGGTTCCCTCCCAAGGTGCCACAAACCCTGGGGCTGGGGTGGGGAGGTAGGGTGCCATGTCTTCCTGTTCCCTCCAATCCCTGAAGCTGAGCCCCTCTGGTGGGTTGTTCATCTTAGAAAACGGAATCCTTCATGGGCCTGAAATCAAGGTTCAAAAGGTCAAAATTCGTCCCACTTGCTAGACGCACACTACCTTTGCTAGCACAGGTTCCTTATCTGCAAAAGGGGGGCAGGGAGGACACTGAAATTAAACAATGTATATGAAATCTCCCCGTTCACAGTCCACAATCAATCTGCTGAGACCAATTACCAGCTGGGAACCCCAACTCCTGTGAGGAATAAGATGTGTCTCTAACCAGGGTCCTGACACTTGAGTGAAAAAGTGAAAAGCTACCAGGACACCTCTCTGTGATAAAATGCAGAAAGGAGGGCTCAGAGACAGGAGTGGTGAAGCAGAGTGGGGCCCTGCATTTAACTCTGTGTTAACTTAGGCTCTTTCTCCTGCCCCAAGCTGTTCCTGGGGGCCTGCTATGTATCTGACCTGGCCTCTCCTTGAAAAGGAAGTCCCCACCTTGTCACCCTGGATTCACTGGGGTCTACTGGCCAACTCTGCATCTCCCACCCCCAGCACGGCATCTGCCATACAGAAGCAGCTTGACTAATAAATGCTGGCGGAACAGAATGCCTCCGCCACTCAGATATGACTTCAGTAACTTGACCTTTTACATTCCCCAGCTAATGTCTAATTTGCATACAGGAGTCCATTTTAAGAGACGGCAAATCACCAGAGACAACTCAGGATCAATACAGAGTACGAGGCACGTTTTATTCTACTCTAATTCTCTGCAAATTGGTATTCCATTAACTGTACGTGGGGTTTATGGGAGCTCGCTATAAACTAGAATATTTAACTAGAACGACCTACTCTCTGTCAGATAATAGCCTACGGTTAATGTTCAACTAGTCAATCTCAGAAAGGTTTCCAGCTTCCAATCTACTTCACATCTTGATGCAATCATCAGCAAAGTTATCTATTTGAAAAATCTCAGTACAATAAAGGGCATCTTGATACAGAACAAAAAGACCTGCCCATGGAATCAGGAAACCTGAGTTACATCCCAACTACACCACATAATGTATAATCCGCTGCTCAAAGCCTCAATTTCCTCACATGTAAAATGGGAATAACACCAGCCTCCTGGGGGAGTTGTAAAAATTAAATGAGTTGATATTGTGGATACACTCTGTGCAGTTCTATAAGCCTATACAAAGGTTAGTTATGATAGGAAAAACAAAAGATGAAATGCTCTGACAACTTCAACAGGCTAATGACAGAAAGCAGGAGTGGTTCTAAAAAGTGAGACAGGATATTGGCCCCCCCCCAGGGGACATCTGGCCATGTCTGGTGGCATTTCTGGTTGGCACAACAGAGGGAGAGGGATTACTACTGAAATCTAGTGAGTAGAGACAAGAGATGCGGCTCAATAACCTACAATGCATAGAACAGGCCTCACAACAAAGAATTAAGGAACCCCAGCCATGAGGTTAAGAAACCCTGATCTAAATAATCACAAAAGCTGAGTTTAGAAGCTTTTTAGAACAGAAATCTTCCTAACCTGGCTTTACTTTCAAGCATCATCTGCTTAAGCATTTGCAGAATGGATCCTCTCGCAAAACAGCTCTTTTGTAAGTACAGCTGAACTGCCAACTTCTGGAGTTCCTGAATGTATAAAACTGCTTTTAAAGAAGATGCTCTCCGATTACAATTCCCTAAATTGCTTTTCCAAAGCCCTTGACTTCAGCAGAAGTTCTCCAGGGCACAGAGACGGGGGCCTGTCACTCTGCCACCAGGCCCTGAAGATGCTTCCCTGATTCTAATTTCCTGGTGAAATGGGAGCCGCGAGGGTCTCTAAACGAATTAAATTCGCATCACGCCAACTGCTCACTTGCTTTGCGCCGGGCACAGTGCCAAACACCTCCACATAATTTATCCCACTTAATCTACCCACCAACCCAGTGAGGTGGGCATTATTACCGGCTGTCTGCAGGGGAGGAAACTGAAGATCAGAGAGGTTAGACAGCTCGCTCAAGGTCACCAGCTGGCCAAGGGGGAGACCAACTTGACCGGAGGTCTCCAGTGTTCAAGTCACAAGCTCTTTGCACCGCCTCGGACAGCCCAGGTGTCAAGCTGTCTCAACTTCCCATGAATTTTTAAGGCAAGCGCAACTTCTGAGTAAGTTTAGGTTGCTGCAAATGGGAATTTCCGGGGGGGGGGGGGTGGGGTGCTGCGCGCTCACATGCACTCCCCCACTGCAGCTGTCTCCCCGCAGGTACCTGGTAAACCATCCCGTGTCGCCTGCGGAACGGGGAGGGTTTACTGGCGCTGGAGTTCATGCCAGGCCCAGGAAATGCCATCTTTGAAAGCCGAGAGGCGGATTCGCCCGGGGAGCTCAGAAGGTCTGGCCGCCGAGCTTGGCTGGCTCCCCACGGGCTGGGCGCCCCCTAGGCAACCAGGGCCTGGGTCGCGGCGCCGCGGGGCCCTCCGGATGCCGCCGGCCGCGCGGGCTCCGCCGGTCGTGTCCGCC